GCCGGGAGGCTTCTATGCCAGGCAGGTGGCGCGGCCGGGTGGCCTTCATGCCGGGCCTGAGGGGCTCTTATAGGTTTAGGAACCCTATAGGAAATCCAGAAAAAACATGTAGGAAGCCCTCTTCTTCTTTTCCTATGGACTTCCTACGGGTTTCCTATGGGTTCCTATAGGTTTCCTAGAGGTTCCTATAGGTTCCTATAAGGGCTAAAAACTCCGAGCTCCCCGCCGGGGCTTCTATGCCGGGCAGGTGGCGTGGCAGGGTGGCGCAGTGCGACCGTATGACCGTATGATCCGTATGATCCGTATGACTTGGCGGGCTGGCGTGGCTCCCTTTAGAGGGGGTTTCCCAAATGGATTCTATTCTATCTGACAGGCTCCTAGCACTCGTCCGTCCAGGAAACGACCTCGTCCTGCGAAGGATTCGAAACCTAAAGCGCTGCGTGCAGGCGTGTGGCTGCAATATAACGACCCCGAGATATGCGCCGCAATTTGGCTCCAGGTTGCATTTCAAGCGAGGTCAAGCTTTGCCAAAGGAAACCCCTTTCCCCTTTTTTTTGGGACCCCCTTTTTTTGGGACCCCTTGTTTTCTTTTTTTTGTTTTTTTCTTAGCCCTGCAAAGGTTGGCTCGCTTGAAATGCAACCTGGAGCCAAATTGCAAGCATTTCTCGGGGTCGTTGTATTGCAGCCGCACGCCTGCGCGCAGCGTTTTAGGTTTCGAATCCTTCGCAGGACAAGGTCGTTTCCTGGACGGACGAGTGCTAGGAGGCTTGAGGCCGAGCGCTCGCACCAGCGCGACCGCATCGAGCTCCTCAATAAGCAGCTGGAGGACTCGGAGGCGAAAGTCGAAGACCTTGAAGAGAGCCTCTGGGATTTGAGGGGAGTCCTGAAAGAGGTGAGCTACGTCTCTGAAGAGGCTGTTGACGGCCAGGCCACGCGCGCCCAGCGGGCAGAGCTTGCCCTGCGCTGGTTTGAGAGTGATCGCGGGCGGTGGGAATATTGGGACTCGGTCGTAGATTATGGGGGCTCGCCAAGCCCCCCGCCCCGATCCAGCACGGAGAAGCTCGTCAGTGAGTGGCGGGCGGAGCTGTCGGATTAGAATAGAATCGTTTGGGAAACCCCCTCTAAAGACAGAGGGTTCCTGTCAAGTAACTTCGCTCTGGCTTGTGGGCTGCTGGCAAGCATTTTGGGAAACATATCAGAACCCACACACACATTGTCAGCTGCCAGTTTTCTCTTTCTGGGCGTTGACTTGCTTCTGCCCTTTTTCCAAAGGGTTCAGACTGCTTTCTTTGGCAATCCTTTTTCAAGGCAGATGTGTCACCTGGCGCAAGCAAGGTTTATGTAAGCCTTTTGAACTTACTCCCTGTCAGGCTAGCAGCAGCTGACCTGGCAAGCTTCGCACATGGCTTAGCTTGGGGTGGCCAGCAGCTGTAGAAGTGCATTCCTCTTGCGCCAGGGGAAGGCAGTGGTGCAAGGCCTTGAATTCCACTGCTGAGTTTCTCGACAAACACTCATGCCCCTTCAAGTCCAGCAGCAGGTCCTCATACTTCTTTAGAAGCTTGAGAAGAAGCCCTGTCTCGACATAGAGCTTTTTGAAGTGTTTTGCCCGTCCCTGCCCCGGGGCAGGCGGGCGCCTTTTCCGAAAGATCTTGGCGCTGCCTTTTGCAAGGCCAGCTTGGGAGTGGACACCGATGTAGCACCTTTTTTCAATGGGGTCGCCTGGCAAAAGCAAAGCAAACAAGGATCTTTTTCCAAAGGCAGCCTGGCAAAAGCAAAGCAAACGAGGACCTTTTTCCTGGCAAAAGCAAAGCAAAGGCCTTTGTCCAAAGGCAGCGCAGTGCAAACGTAGCAAATGAAAGAAAGACGCAGGTGCTTTCTAGCTTGTAACCAGAATGGCTGTGGCAATCAAAATTCAGCCACGCATGCCCCAAAGCACAGCACGCAGTGAGCTGTTTAGAACCTTCGCGACTGACAAGTTGATCAGTGTCTATATATGAACTCAAGCCTTAAACAAAATGAGTGAAAAACAATGCGAAAATGAGTATGTAAATCAATATGAAAATCAATATGACAATCAATATGAAAATCAGTATGAAAATCAATATGAAAATCAATATGAAAATCAATATATGATCAATACAAGAATCAGTCTATTTTTCAATCATGAAATCAAACAAATCAAGCAGAGAACTTTTGAACAAATCAATATTTTTTCAAAATCAAAATCAATCCAAAACCATGGAAATTGATTGATCAGGATCAAAATCCGCTGCTCAGAGGTGGTTGACATCAACGGGGACAAGCGTCTGGTGACTTCCCACGCGTGGTGCATTGATGGCGCCAAGCCCTCTGTCGTGGAGGCATTTCGCTTTGTCGTGGAGGTTTAAGAGCTGCCATCTCTTCAACATGGCTGATGGCGCCCCGCGCTTGCTGGCGGGAAAGCCGATCCAAGATTGCGACACAGACCTGGCTTGCCATGTCGAGTGGATGGCCAGGCCGAATGACGATGTTGTTCGCTCTGTGGTCGCAGAAAGAGACATGGTGTGCCACCTGCTGGGAATGAAGCCAGAGTTGGCTTCAAACAAGCGCACGGCTGAGATGTTGGTTGCAAGCGCATCGTCAAAAGTGACGTGCTCTTCCTGGAAGCTAAGGCTTGCGACGCACAGGCGCTGCTCGGACAGACGCTGTCGTTCGGAACTCCGATGCGCGCCGGGTTTTGCTTGCCTTTGCGAAGCTTTTGATCATGCAGACGCTCATACTTTTTGAAAGCGATCAACCTAGCAAGTGGAAAAAGGGTCGTGCGTCGCAGCCTGCGCCGCTGTAGGAGCATGCCTCGCGTGCAGCGCTTGGCCTCTGCGCATTGTGTTGCAGGCGCGCCTGCCGCGGGCCGCGCCCTGGCTGACTCCTCGCAAGTGACCATCGCGACCATGACACGCTTGGCCCAGTGGCTGCGTCCTGGCGCGTGGCTGAATTACCACTGCGGGTTGTGCTTTTTTTTCCATTCGTATTCATGTTTGCATTGGTTGGAAATCAAAGCGGCTTTAGGCATTTTCCCCTAATTGGACACATGCTTGCATTGATGGAAGCTTGCTTCTTTCCAACATGACATCATCAGCCCCAGCTCCTGCTTCTTCCCTCCTTGGACTCGCGCTTGCAGCCGGGCGGCGCGCTGGCATGAGCCGCCTGGCGCTGTCTCGCGCTTGCTTCACGAATGCTTCGTGTAGGGAAAAAGAACGCATCCTGCAGCGTTGGGCCGACCTCGCTTGCGATGTTATGCTTTCGGGCCAGCCGTGGTCTAGTTTCTTCTTCACTTTTGGTTCACGAATACCACTATCAAATGCGTGTCAAGAAAAATAGGCCGACAAAAATGAATCATGTTGCGGTGCGAATGAACGTGTGCGAGTAGGGCGACGAGTGTTCGAGTCACTCGTCCATGCGTCCGTTCGCTGGCCCGTTCCGCTCGAACACTCGCGCAACCACTCGCGCGCTCGCACGCGCAATTCGAGCACTCGTCAAAATGCCACTCATATACTATTTGGCAAGTGTTCCTAAAAAGCTTTCTCACCAGAACCTGCAAAAACCACGCGTGAGGAAGCTCATCAGGTGGGGGAGGTGTCAAAGTTTGTTCAACGTATTACCATGCTTCCAGGCAAGTTCGTCAAGTTAAGCCCGATGCTATTTGGTGTTTCTTGCCGGGATACGTCTTCAGGGTGGGTCTGGCTTCACTTTTGGACCACAAAGAGACATCCCCCCATATTTCAATCCCCCGTGGCCGCTTTTCGAGGAGTACTCGCCAAACTTGCATTGGCAATGCAGGTGAAAATCAATTTTGACCCGGTTTGTGTATGGACAGCAGAAGCCTTCTCATTTGACTCTGGTGTGACCAGCATTTATTTGCTAGATTCAGTTGAGCGTTCAATTGCCATTCTATCAAGTTTACATTTTTACAACCATGTTAGCAAAACCAAAAGTTAATGGTTGTTTTGGCGTTGCTCAGATGATGTCCCACAAAATGCAAACCCATTTGTCGTTTTGATTTGCCGCATGTCAGCGCTTGCTCTGCTTGCTGTTTGCGCAATGTTCAGATGATGAACACAGAGGCAAAAACTACAAGAGACCCTGCCAACATGGCAAACCATGGAACGTCATGCTTGCATCAGCCTTGTGCATATGTCCCCTGTGCAGCATCTGCTTTGATCAAGTGTTTTGTACCATAGTTCCACATTCCCTGCGGGACACTCAGCGCCATGTGGGTGTGGGTCAAAATTAAACGACAGAGGGCCGCAGGGTTTAGTCCTTGTTTGCATTTACCAATGTGCCGTTTTGGGGACTCGATTTTTGACCCACACCCATGTTCTGGGAGCGAATCAGTTGGCTTCGGTCGAACATTGGAACTTCAGGAACGAAGGAATCTGGTTCAGATCCCACGTGGCAAGACGACCCAGGACGTGCATTCACACAGCCCTAGAACGAACGGAGTGGTTTGTCTTTGGTCAGGAATCGGATCCCCCCAAAAGCAACAGATTTCCTTTGGGTTTTCCTTACCAGTTCCAAAGAACAAACACATCCAAGAGCATTTTGACTGAGCACCCAAAGCCCCAAAAGGGCCATTTTAACAGGTGGTTCTGCCTGGCTTAGGGTTATAGTCAGGCCTACATAAACCAGCAGCATTGTGCTCGCAAAACTCATGGACGGCAGTCAGTTCAAGGTGAGTCACATCGATTGTGAATCAAAGAAGCCGAAAGGAAGACTGCTGCCCAACAATCCGGTCTCACCGGCTGGGCAGTTGCAGAACGAGCTTCCCAAGTTTGTGTGCTTTCCTGACTCGGTGAGTATGGGTGTTTCTCAAAATGCTGCCCCGCAAGGCAAGGGGAAAGCAAAACGAAACCGTTGCCTGAAGGAGTTGGTCCCTTTTGAAAAAACACCCAACAAACGTGGCCAGAGAGGGTCGCATGGCGCAATCGCTTGCAATCGCCGCCAGGGTCCATTTGGTGGGCAGTATGGGGTGTGCTTCGTCGGGACTCCCAGCGGAGTCAAGCCGCAGAGAGGGGGCCTTTGGGCTGGTTTGAAGAAAAATGATTTTTCCCACGTCAAAGAGCAAGACCGTGGAGTTTGAGATCACTTAGGTCAGCGAAGAAAGCCGGAACTCCAAGTCAGGCATGACCTTTCAGCCAGAATCCGGGTACCGTCCGGTTGTTTCATGGGCGCTATCGGGTTTCAAAGGACACCCAGAACCCAACCCCCACCCACGCCAGACGGACAAGCAAAGCTACGAGATGCGGCTGCTGGACGAATACTCTGCCGGGGCGCTTGAGCTCAAGCACTTGGGGGTTGATCACAAGGTTGGAAAATGCCCCGTTGTCCGCGAAATGGACAAAGTTCCACGGTCATTTGGCCAGGAATATTGATCAACCCCTACTTTAAGTTACTTTAGGCATCCTCAGCCATTTTGTTTCTGTTTGCCAACCCAAGAAGTCTGGGCAAGGCTCGTTTGACAAAACCAACTTGAGGAGATGGCGGTGGCTCAAAATTCAAGAAGGGTTGCGCAGTTTTAATCTTTGGTTCCATTTACCAAGGTGCCATCTTGGCACATTTATTTGAGCCACAGCCAGATGTGAGATACCTCCCTAGCAGGTACTTGAACATTTGTAATAGATTCATGTAGCTGCACTTGTGCGTGTGTGTCACTTTATATTCTGGCTTCAACATGCGTTTTCGGCACTTGGTGTTCGGAGTTGCACTTGATACAACCAAACTAAAGAGACACGGCCGTTGGACAGTCGCCCCGTTTGGGTCTGTTGTTTTTGAGGGTATCCTTTTTTGTCTTACCGGGAAGAAATGACTCCGACCCTTTTTGTGGGTCCCCAAAATATGAGCCACACCCGGTACACTTCGGCCTGAGGTTGGCCTGACGTTGGGGGAAGGAGCTTTCGGCGTGGTGTCGGCCCGCGCCTGAAGCGGGAAGCAGGAAGCAATGGCTTGGTTTCGGTGAAGTTGGAACACGGGGACCGTGTTGTTTTTTTTGCCCTTGTGGTTGTGTGGGTTTCCTTCTTTTTGGGGTACCCTTGAAAAGTCGAAAAGGGTTGGTTTAGGGGGCAGTTTTCGTTTTGTCTCCCTGTAGTTCTATGGGTTGATTCCGTAGGTCCACTGTTTTCAACCATGGTTCTTTTCAACAACCAGCGCTTTTTTCCTGGGTTTCCGGAGGTTTGCTAGAAAAAGGATCCCTGGAAGAATGGGGAAGGTACCCCTAGAGTAGTGGCTATGTGGGTTGTGTCTTTTTTGAGGGTACCCTTGAAAAGGGTTGGTTTCAAGGAAGCCCCGGTGAAAACGATGTTATTATGAATAGATTTCAGGACAGAAGCCAGAGATTCATCACCCATAAAGCCACACCCGCCCAGGTTCGGCAGATGTGTTTTTTGTCTATTGGGCAAACAAAGAACCACGGCACCCTGAGACTTGGTTTGTTTGAAAGAGCTCAACGGAATCCAGCCAAAGCTCCGAGGTGTGCAAGAGAAGGGCATCCGGCGAAGAGTTTGCAGCATCTTGCCACGCACGTGTTGCTCCAAAGGAGAGTGCATTAGATACCAAGCGGCTATGAGTTTTGATGGGGAACCCACTCGAGAATGGTTGGAGACACAAATCCCAATGTAAATGATGTCCACTACGAGTCGCCCAGTAAATTCATACCCAAGTCAGGGTTCCGTTTGGATTTTCAATAAGGGACCCTCTAGTCAACCGCTTTGAGAAGGTTCCCTATTAAGATGCATAGCCGTGCGACCCGAATGCAGACTTGCTGCAAACCCAGTGCTCCGGGATGAGTCGCTTTGGGGTTTATGTCCGCTTAGCATCCAAGGTAAAGATGGTGGACAAGGCCCTGCCGTGCCATTTTGGGTCTGTGTTTGGAGTTGGTATCCAGAGTCAAGAGTCAGGATGGCTTGGGTCCGGTCCAGATGCTTATTTTGACGCATTCAGGGGGCGGGTTCTAACGAACGGGTTGCAGCCACGTAGCATCGTTCTGAGATCTCGTTGCACGGGTCACTTCCTCGAATCCAACGTGTTGGTACCTAAAGGCAAGCCTGTTCAGGTCAACCCGTGGTTCTTCGTTTTTTCCTCTTCTGTTTTTCCGGGCTTGGATCGGGATTCCAATGTCCATCCATCCGATTCATCCGACTTCCACCATCCGTCCGATAGGTGGAGACGCCCGTGGAAGCCATCAAGAAAGAGGCCGATATGCTTCAGAGCATGGCTGGGGGCCCAGCCCGGCGATGGATCGGAGGGTTTGATACCCGAAGGCTGGGTGTTTGCCCCAACGTTTTGGAGGTCGGGTTAATGGGAAGCTTTGGCGGAGCCCAGTGGGTAGATGGGAAACTAACCCCGAAAGGAAAAAACAAACAAAAAAACAATGGGGCCCAGCACCATTTTGTAGGGAGAGCCTGGTTTGTCTCATGTTTGTCCGAAAGGGGAATCCAAACGAATCCAAACAGAATGGCCTCTGTGTGTCAAACCCCAAGAAGGCCACCCTGCCCATCGGATTTTTGGTTTCATGTGGCTAAGGGAAACCAATATTTGAAAGGGTAGGCCTTGTAGGACCTCTTGTGATAGACAAAATCCAGGACTGGCACCAGGTACCAGGTGGGATTGGTGGTTTGTCACCCAGTACCCCTAAGGCACAATCCATCCCAACTGCAGACATTTGTTTATCGGTATCGCTTGGTTTCTATTGGACATGTACCTGAGAGCGGACACTTATATAGGACTCCCATGTGTCGCCAGAAGCACTCGTTGGTTTCTGGCGCGAGTGCACGTGGAAGCGGAACATAGATTTTCCCACGCCACGCTTCAGGACCACCCCAACATCGTGAAGTTCCACGGTGTGTACTATGAGAGGCACGCCTTTAGACTCAAAACAGCTTGTCTGAGTCTTTGGGACGGCTCGGATGTTTATTTGCGTGTCCTGACCCTAGCTGGACAAAAACGTTACATGGACATGTACGTGGGCTATTGGCTGGTGTGGCACGAACAGGCATGTGTTTGACACTTGCGGAAAGTACTGCTGGCTATCTTAGGCGCTGGGAGTCATTTGTGCCATATTTGTGGGGCTGTCTCCATATACGGTGGCCTATCCATCAAGGACATGCCCAGCAGGTGCTTTGTGTGCATAGTGATGGACAAGCTGGATGGCGGAGACTTGGTCGAGGGCCTGCAGCGACATCTGAAGGCTGAAGGGAGAGAGAAGTTGATGCAAAACCAGCGGCATTTTGTTTGGGGGGTTTCTCAACATGGGTCGCGCTTTTTTGAAGTGGTTGGGGTCCCTTGTTTCGTCCTGAATGCCAAAGCAGGGGATGTACTTGAGAAACTCCTTTTGGACAACAAACAGCCCCAAGAAACCAATTCTCGTAGGGGTTCTTGAACTTGCGCGAAATTTATCTGAAAATTGGACTGAAGCTGCTCCCGCCTTTGTTGTTGATGTGCAAGTGTAGATGCTTTGGCACTTGCGGCCAGGAACGCGGTCAGATCAACTGCCTGGATGTGGTGCATGTGGCGTGCGCTTTGAGCAATGTAAAACACATGGAGATGATGGAAGGTGCATGTACTCTTGGCATTGCATCTGATGCTAGGTACCAAATGGCTG